CTAGAGCCAGCTTGAGTCAAGTCCCAAACATAGTTAATGAAGAACAAGTAGAATTTGAGTCAACCAGTGAGTTAACTTGTAAAGATTGGAATATACCCAGAATCTCTAGTAAAGAAATTTACAAGAAACAATGGTCACCTTTGTCATTTAAGTCAACCACCCATGTTAAGACAATTGAACAAGTCTATGCCTTAAGTAAAGAACACGAAACATGCCAGTTACTTAATCTTGAGTCAATTAAGAAACATAGAAAAGATGGTAATAATTTCTTGCATATTGGTCTAGTTCGAGTTGCAGTTAAACCTCTAACCAAGTTAGGTCTTGACACTTCAATTCTTTTAAGCCTACGAGATGCCAGATTTCACGATTTCCAGGATGAAGTCTGAGGAATCATTGAGTCAAGCCTATGTCATGGTCCTGTCCATTTTGATTGTTACCCATATTTCACAATTAGCCTAAGTGATCCCCATATTCTAAAAATTTTAACTTTAAATGTTAAAACCCATGGTTACAATATTTTACCCGGTAGTCAACCTTTAGCTTTAATTTACAGAATTTATTACAAAGTCACAGGCACGAATATGAACTTCCAAGCCCTTAGTAACAGTCCAAAAAACCAAACTCTGTTAATCCAAAGTCACACATCTAGTGCTAATGTCACAGTTCCTCAAATGATTAATTGGTCAGATGTTAAGTTACCCCAGGATTGGTTCTTAACAACTGAGAGTCAACCAACCCCGATTCAACGAAGTCTAAACAATTTAGACTACATTGAACAATATTTAAACGGTACAGTTAAAATTAATTTTGGTAGACAGCAACCACCAGTCAAATCCACTGTCCAGTTAGAACAGTTACCAACTCCTAGTCAATCCTTTAAGATTCCCGCAAGACATTCGTTTACAGGATCTTCTTCCACCACAGAAAGAGACTTAGAAATAGAAAAAGCCTTAATCGATTTTAAGATAGGAGAATTAAGAAAAAAGGCACAAGTAGTTCAACCTAATTACGAGAAAATCCCAGTTGAAGAAAAATTAAAATCCCCAGAGTCACCAACACAAACAGATTTTGAAGCCTCATCTTTTAATTTATCTTCAAACTTACTTATTTGAGACTGTAGAGACTTGTCGACTAACTGTTGTTCTACTCGTTTAAATTTAACTTCTTCCTTAAGAAAATTAACGTGTTTTGTTTTATTCTGGATTAACTTAACTGATTTGGAAACGGCTGACTTTTGGAGTGACTTGAGACTGTGTAACTCTGGTTTGGTTAAAAATTCAAATTTAACTCTTTCTCCTAAATGACTCGAGGTGACTCCATCATATTCTACCTAAAAGAGGTAAAGTAGAGATATGAAAGGTAAACCTAAAATTACTTCATCTGTGATATCCTGGATCAGGACAAAGGACGTTTTAATATATATATATATATATATGTGTGTGTGTGTGTGTGTGTGTACATTATAGTATATGTGTATATATATAATATATAATATAATATAATATATATGGGTATATTATAATAATAATAATATATGTTATTATTATTGCAATATGATATATGTATCTAATACATTGGTGAGTATGGGACTAGTTAATCATCTCTTTCCACATGGGTTTATTAGTCCCCTCATAAGGAGGTGTTTTTGGTGGGTCCAATATTCACAATCCCATTTAAGACTAGAATTAGATGAAATAAACATGGGACTAAATTTACTCCAAGTCAAGCCTGTGTAATAGACAACCCCTAGGAGACTTGGAAGAGTCATGCTAAAAAGCCTTTTAGTTTGAGCTCGCTCAAACAATTGAACTTTAATGACCCACGGAATGGACAGTTTTGCTCTAAAAAAATGGGCGTCACATGCCTCCCACATGACTAATTTGACGGAAAGATGGATGAAATATATGAAAAATTGACCTTGGGAAGTGGGGGATTGGCAGTAAAATTTAATTAAGGTACTTAATTTAACTTAATTTATAACACGTGTAAACAAAGTAAGAAGTTTATTACTTTATCATACATATTACATTATTTTGATTTAGTATAACATGAGGTTAGAGAGTGCATCAATGAAATCTTAAAAAAAGAAGGGCATACACAGGCGAACCTTGGGCTGGTCGAGAGTTTCAAATCCTAAGCCCAAGCCCTACCTAACCTTAGAATGGGTGTCATGTCATTGGATATGTGCCACGTCATCAATCTAACATACTTTTGGACGAAACATGATGACATGGACTACTTGTGAGCACGCATGTTAATGTCGAGGACCATGTAGGGACTTCTCACACACATACTATCAAGATGTCATGGGGATTTGAACCTGAGACCATATACAAGCGATATTAGAAGAGGGAAGAATCGAACCTAGAAAGTGGGGTCACTTAGGATTAGATGATTATATAAAAGTGTTGAGGCCCAAAAATCCACGGTTCGGCCCAAATAAATTCTCGACCCAATGCAATACCTTACCGAGGAGAAGCCCGATTAGGGCATGCGAAAGTTCGTCATACGCGCTTGCACACATGCCACGCCAAGCAAATAAGCAACACGTCGCGCTACATGCTTAAGTGGGCCCAAGCCACTCAAATGCCCGGGGCTTGCTTGAGTGGGTTGTGGTATGGATGGTAATAAATCAACATGAGGCCCATTGATGGGCCGAGAAATGGAAGCCCCGAGTCGCTTGGGAGCCTCGGGACTCAAGGCCATTTCTTAGGCCCAAACATGTGGGTGAGCACAAGAGGAAGAAATAGCCCAGTCAAAATCGCCTATGAACCTTACCAAAAGCCCAAACGTTTAATGAAAATAGCCCAATCAAAAAGTAGCCTATTGACTCAACCAAAAAGCCCACTTACTTAATGAGCCATCTTGGCCCATACAATTACCTCAGCTGGCTGGGAGAACAAAAGCCACGAAGGGGGAGGTCTGAAGGTTTATTGAATAAAGCTGCTGGAGGTTCCAGCACATGGGGGAGCAAGTTCCAAGCAAAAATCCTTCAAGGAACCAAGGGATATTAGCACACAAAGAGGGATGCCATCCCTTGAACCAGCATACAAACCCAATTTCTTTCCTTCATCAAATTTGGCCATGGAAAAAGGAAGAAAGAAGAGAAAGAAGATGGGTGAAAATAGAGGCTCTCCTCTGAAGCAGCCAAGGGAGGGAGCCTTGAGCCCCCAAAAGTCTCTGATTTTGTGGGATTGGGCAGAGCTAATTGTTGCCACCATAAGGTAAGTCAAGAGGGAGGAGAAGAAAGAAGGAGGAAAGCTTAGCTAGATTAGGAGGAAACCATTAGGGTTTCTTGGAGAAGAGCAAATCCCAGCAGCTATAAATAGGACCCCTCTCTACCCAACACAACACACACTAGGGAGAGCAAGCTTCCTCTCCTACCTGCAAGCTCACTAATTTTTGTGCTTTGCTGGTCTATCACCTTTATTCCCCTCATTTTTTCCTCTTCTGGCAGGCTGCTCAGAGTCACCGACGAGCTGCCGGAAGTGATACTCAAGTCACCCATTTCTCTCTTTCCCTCAACCAAACCTCTCTGCAAAACCCTTTCCTCTCCTACCTTAATACCTCATCTTTCCCCTAGAAACACTTAATTTTCCCTCAGTGCTAAACTCATGTTGATTTTGCTTCCATGCCACATGCCTCTCATGCCAAGCCCAAGATTTTATCTGTAAGCATGAAGAAATTATCTGTAAGTTGCTGTTGTTTTGGTTGGTGGAGGTAACCAAAATACTTCCTAAGGCCCTGCTGCCCTTTCGAATCATTTTGGGGCTTAATTTTCCAACTCAGACAAAGGGGACAATTTCATCAGCTAAGCCCACCTGCCGCCGGAAGAAAAATACCCCTACAAAAAGCTTATATTAACTTTTTTTGCAAGAAAAAGTCAGCCACACTATTAATATGAGAATAAAGACCATTAAATGGTAATGTTTTCTAAAGATATTTTTGTGAAATGTTTCCAAACAATGAAAATGAGAAAACAAATTTGTATTCTCAATATATGACAAAGAACAATTTGGTGATTTGAAGCAACCTCCGTCGAAGACGATGTAGACCCAAATTTAGAGAACATGAACAATGTTAGAGAGCGGTTTTTCAGAAAATGATTTGTTTGAGAATGCCTAAAAATGGTGATGGGAAACTTCTATCTAAGTATGGCTCAGAAGAAATCATCACAAAAGCCTTCTTATTCAAAATGCCCCAATTGACTTATTCACTAACCCAAAAGAAAAAGGCAATGAGAGAGGAGGGGAGGAGGGGCAATGACGCTTCTTCCTGCTTCCCGTCTATGGAGTTTTTCTTTGGGGCTCACAAAGGAGAGAGCGGCTAGGATTTCATTTTTATTTTTTTGCCTAGTAGCTTAGTGAAAACTAAAAATGATCAAATTGTTATAAAGCTAGATGGAGAAAATATAGAGAGAAATGATATGCTAAGGATAAAGTTTCACCATGTTTATTCTGCTTAATCTTTAGTAGAACCACCTATTTATAGGCTTACAAGATAGGAGATTGAATACCATCATTTACAATATACCTATAAGTTACAAGCACTAATTACAAATACTTAATGCATATGTTACATAAAATCCAATGGTAGAATACTAAGAGATATGATGGTCATCCATCAACTCATGCATTTACAACACAAATGTGATCTTTGGTGAAAGTATATTGACTAAAACTGTACATTGACTAAAACTATGTTTAGCCATTTTAGAAAGACAATTTTATTAGTCCGAGTGGTTTAGTAATTAACTCAACAATTTTTTTCTTAATTACCTTCCCTAACATTATTGCCTTATCCGTTCAAAAAAATTCCACATCATTGGTGATATCTAAAGAGAAAAACAAATATAAACAGTTAGTCATAATCATGTGTGCTCAAGGACACATGGTCTTGAGACAACTTCCACTCCCAGTCTGCCACTGCTGCATATTCTTGAACTACCGTATCAAATCACCCCACGTGTCCAATTTGACTGAGCCCATATTCCACATATCCAACACCACTCCCTGTTCCATCCCAAGGTGCTCCACACAGCCACACAGAGAAAAACAGAGAGAAAGTGCGAGAAAGCGCGAGAAAGTGAGAGAAATCAACCAAACCGGAGATGGGTAGCTCGTCGGAGGACTTCTCGGTGGTGGTACTGGCATCGGATCTGGGTATAGATGCGAGGCCATTCTTGACGAACGAAGAAAGAGAGGTCGAAGAACAAGAGAATTGGTACGACTGCCCTCAGAACCTTATTGCCGACGAGGACTTCTCCGATCTCGAGCTCTTGCAGTTCTTTCGTGTTCAGGGCCATGACAAGTCTGGAAATCGTATTTTTCGCATAGTGGGAAAATACTTTCCCGGTAAACAAACAGATCCAACTATCCTTATCTGTTGTTACAGTGGGTGAATTGTTCTTTAGTTAAACTAGCTGCGTAAATAAAAACCTGTTTCTTAGCTGAGATGTGTATTTTACTCGTCCATATCTGAGTTAACTGATTATATAAGAATGTCCTAATTATTTTGGCTTCGGGGTTTCGTTTGAATTTGAAGAGTTTCTATGTTTGTTTGGGTAATTGACAGTTTTTTGGGTAAACTACTTTGTGTTTCTGATAATTTTCTTGTGTTCTTTTAGGTTAAACCCTTTACTTTTATTTATCTTTGTAGGTCTTGTGGTTCCCTTGGGCATGGAACAGCTGGGTTTTATGGAACTGCTTTTTACTTAATTTTTTAGTTTTTGAAATATGTAATGGTCTGTTCTGTGAACTGTAGAAGCTGTTAATAGAGTAGTACCTTTTGTGGCAGGGACTTACCTTAGGTTGCTTAATTTTGCTAATTTGTGGAAAGAGTTATGTGTTTTTCTATTCTAGATGTGTCTCATTGGAAACAAATTGCACTTTGTGCTTTGAGTTAAATATAACACACTCTATATAGTCAGATTTAGTATTTCAAAGCAAGAAATTAGGGGTTGGTGATCACCGTCCTGTTTGTTGTTGACTTCAGCCTGTTTAGCATAAACCATCTTTCTCAATAATTCAATCAGAAAAAAATGGTCTTCAGTTTTGTAAGGGATAGGATATCTCCCTTCTTGTACTCTGTATAAGTTATTTTTTGCTTTTAGGATGTTTGCAAATGTGAGATGGCTGGGATTCGGGCATGATGTGGGAGTATTTGGCCTTTGGTTTTTGAGCTGTAAAAGTCAATTTTAAATACTCCTAATGGCTGGATATAATGGTGGCGTTGATGCTGATGTGAAATGGGTTCTGTTTGGAGGGAATGTTATCTTAGTTGAAACTTTTTAGGGGTTTGTTATGTCTGGTTTTGCATTTAACATTCGCAAAGAAGATGGAATTTTGCTTCCTTTTGGTTTGGATAAATTCTTTTTTATATTTATATTGGTGGTAAAATAATTAATTCTTGATTTTTTGTTTTCAATCTCCTTATTCTACTTTTGAAAAACCCTGTGGCATATGACAATTGTTTTAATTTGTCTGATTTTCTTTCTACAGCTCCAGTTGTTAGTGGAGATAGGCTGAAGAGGTATATATTCCACAAATTATGCAGTGAGCTTCCAGAAGGGCCATACTGCATTGTTTACATGCATAGTACTGTGCAAAAGGAGGATAACTCCCCTGGCATAACTATCTTAAGGTGGATTTATGAAGACCTTCCTTCATATTTGAAGGACAGGCTTCAGATTGTGTACTTCATTCACCCTGGGCTCCGATCAAGACTTGTCTTTGCCACTCTTGGCCGATTCTTCTTAACTGGAGGGTTAGTGATTTCATATACTTTGTAAACCCACAATCTAATTTAATAATGATTTCTTATTATTATTATTATGAAAAACAAACAAATTAGTGAATATAACGGAGAGTTTGTGGATTAGTATTTTGATATTATTGACATGTCTCTTGACTTTGCTTAATACTGTCTTGAAACTTGGTGATTATTAACTGCAATTTAGACAAATCATCCTTTGAGATAAGTAAGAAAAAAAAATCATTTTGATGGCTGATGTTGAAATTCTTCAATTTATGTTTCAAGCAACATTATAGGATGTACTACGTAGTCATGCAGATTATGCCCAAGCATCCTCAAATGACTATATTTCCCTATTGAATCCATGTCTAAGTTACAGCCAACAGTGAATTGGGAAGCATAATCGATGTGGTATTCGTTTTTGTTCTAAAAATTATCTTTGTTTGCAGCCTATATTGGAAAATCAAGTATGTAAGCCGCCTGCAGTACCTTTGGGAGGATATAAAGAAGGGAGAGGTGGAAATTCCTGAATTCGTGAAAGGTCACGATGATGTTCTCGAGCATAGACCGCTAACAGATTATGGCATTGAACCCGACCCTCTTCACATGATTGAGGTTCCGTCAACAGCCTACTCATTTGGAAGGTATGAGGAGAGATGGGCATCAAGAGAATATACGTCGTAATTGGTACTATGTAAAGAGCCCTTCCCTACTAATTGGGATTTAGGCGTCAATAAGTTGGCTTGATAGGTGGCTATCCCATATATGCATGTTTTGTACAGAATAATACTGATGTGGTGTTGAGTAGTTTGTGCTCTTAAATGCTGATTATTGCGTACCATGAATACAACTATAGTTTACGCATACTTTATCTTATACGGTTTTGGGTATTAGATTTTCTTTTTAACTTCCAGGCTTTGTTTCGTTTTCTCCTTTATCTCACCCAGTCAGTTTCGACTCTCTCTGCTTGACCGTTCTGCTCTAGCTTAAGATTTGGAGGCCTTGCCTCCTTTGTAGATTCTTCTTTGTTTTTATGTCTTTCTTCATTTCTGATGGCGAGGCTGCTAGTGCTTAAGGTGTTTGGGGTGGTTATGGTCATGGTCATCGCAATATGGTAGAGGTGGTGATGTCGATAGCGTTTAATGTTGATCTTTTTGGCTAACCTAAAAGTCTACGGAATTTAATGACTATCTTTTTAGAGGTATCAATCTAATATAAATGAGTGATGCTGGTGTTGATGGTGGTGGTGGCGGTGTTAGGTGTGATACTTGGGAATGTTCAAGATTGGGGGAGGTGTTAGGTGTGATACTGAACCTCAATTTTTATAATTCACTAGCATGAATACATCAACATAATAATTCACTGGCATGAATAAATGGAAGTTACAGCATGCATATGTATATGTACATATGCGTCTGTTTTTGTATTTGTAGTCTAAACAAGCGGCAGAATGCTACTAATAAGCAAACAAAGAAAAATCTTCCACTAATAAGCAAACAAAGAAAATACCAACACTTTTCTCGCAAATGATATGCACAACATAGCCTGTATAGTTAGAAAACTATTAAGCCAAGTTACCAAATGACATGTCTCACATCACACACCGTGAACAAGGTGATTGGTGTTAGGAAGGCCACAAGTAGGCCCCATTTGGCTTCCTCTCTGGCAGCTTCCTACCTAATCCAAGAAAGGGCATTGGTGATGTTTCCTTCTATAAATCGTATCTTTTGGCATAGGTAAATTACACAAGAACTCATGTAAGATTGAACCCCTAGAATTCACCCTCCAACACAGTTCTTGAGGGGAAGAAGGTATCATTAGGGCTCAAAGTGAATTGATGATATTAAATCATAGCACTTCGGATAGGGCTCAAGGGAGTTATGATCTCCATCACCAGAAATGCCGCACCCATGGACATTAAGTCAGCAAAACCAAGGACAAAGTTAGGGGCTTCATAGGCAGGCATTACACGAACGTGAAGAGAGTCCAGTCCTAGAGTGTCTCCATGATGTAAAATACATCATAGACAGTTGTGGCACAGGGGAGTCTACTCACCTCAGAATCGCTTTCGAGTGGCAACGGTGACATATGACCAGAGGCCAAAGTATTGCCCAGCATGGAAACTTCCAAACCCACGTTCGACCACAAATACGATTCCTCTTTTTTAGATGACAATATTTTTTTTCTTTCTCTTAAATTGTAACCCCCACCATGACTACCTTTAATACTAAGGAAAAGGGAGTTTCTAAGCACTCTAAACTACGGACGATGCAGGATTAAAAGATACAAAAACAGGACACCATTTTTAATTTTATAAATACTTGATAAAACAAACTTCCATAAGTTTGATAATTTTATAAATATAGTATGAAGAATAAACGAAGAAACGAAGAGCCAAGGAAGAACTGCACTCACCGTTTGACTATGGCAGCAATATGTCTGCAAACAAACTCTCTGCAAATGTATGTACAAAGATTCCCAATCTAATAGGGTTTTCTTTTTTAGGTTTATGTGAGTTTTAAATTTGAGGGCATTTATGTCTATTTAGGTGAGTTTTTTTTCTATATTTGAAATTGGGGTTAATCGTTTTATTAGTCATTGAACTTAGACCCGATTTGTATTTGAGTAACTAAATTTCCAAAATGATTCCCGTGGTCCGTCAACTTCAGTTTCGTTAGGACAAATGGTCCTGCCATTAATTTTGTTAACTTTTCTGTTAAATGCGGGGTAAAATGGTATTTTTGTATAAAATTGATTCAAATATGAATAAAAAATTAAAATTAAACTCTTTCTCTCTCCCCTTCTATCCCGATTTCTACTCCCCCAAACTTGATTTTTCTTTTTTTTTTTGTTGGTTTTTTATTTGATTTTCTTTTATTGTTATATTAAAGATATGATTTTTTATTTTTATTTTGTTTTAACATAAAAATACCATTTTGCCCTTGCATTTAACAGAAAAAGTTAACAAAATTGACGGCAGGACTATTTGTCCTAACGAGAGTGAAGTTAAAGGACCACGGGAACTATTTTGAAAATTGAGGGACTAAAATGAAAATCGGGTCTAAATTCAGGGACTAATAAAACGATTAACCCTTTAAAATTGATAATAATAAAAAACTGACATTTTTGAAAATAAGGCTGAAGTTTTGGCTATTTTTGGTTATTTCTCCGATCCCAAATACTAAAGAGGGAAGGAGGAGCAGAGGAAGAAAAAAAAGAAGGTAAAAACGGAAAAATGCTTAGAGCTCTCACTCTCAGACGCTCACTCCAGTCCCTCCACCACCACAACCACCTCAAGCCGCTCATTTCCACCACCATCCCCCAAAACCCACTGAACCCATTAAGCCCAGCGCGCGCATGTTCCAGTCTTTCATCGCCATCAGCATCTTCATCAGCCTCTGAGCTCCGCAAGTACTTGGGCTACACAGCCCTCGTCTTGTTCTCCGCTGCAGCCACCTACTACTCCTTCCCTTTCCCTGAAAACGCCAAGCACAAAAAAGCGCAGATTTTCCGCTATGCTCCTCTGCCCGAGGAGCTCCACACAGTCTCCAACTGGAGCGGGACCCATGAGGTCCAGACCCGGGTTTTCCATCAGCCTGAGACCCTTGAAGAGCTGGAAAAGGTTGTCAAGGATGCCCATGAGAAGAAAACCCGGATTCGGCCTGTCGGGTCCGGGTTGTCCCCGAATGGGATTGGATTGTCCAGGGCTGGAATGGTCAATTTGGCGCTGATGGATAAGGTTTTGGAGGTGGATAAGGAGAAGAAGAGGGTGAGAGTGCAAGCTGGGATAAGGGTGCAGCAATTGGTGGATGGGATCAAGGAACATGGCCTTACTCTGCAGAACTTTGCCTCCATTAGGGAGCAGCAGATTGGTGGCATTTTGCAGGTTGGTTTGTTTTTTTGTTAAGTTTGATGTGGGTTTTGGTTTAACTGTTTCCAATTGACTGGCCTTATCACATTTTGATTTTTGCTAATATGATCTTTCTCTTTGCCTCATGTTCATATGCGTGTAGGTTGGTGCACATGGTACTGGTGCAAAATTGCCTCCGATGGATGAACAGGTGATCAGTATGAAGCTGGTTACTCCTGCTAAGGGAACAATAGAAATCTCGAAAGAGAAAGATCCAGAGCTGTTTTATTTAGCCCGGTGTGGCCTTGGTGGCCTTGGAGTGGTTGCTGAAGTCACCATCCAGTGCGTTGAGAGACAGGAGCTTGTAGAGCACACTGCTGTTTCAAACATGGAAGAGATCAAGAAAAATCATAAGTAATTATTTATTCCTTTCATTGTTAGATTTATTGGTTTATCTTTCATTCAGATAGTAAGTACACAATGCATGAGTGTCGCTTGCAAGTTGCAAATTGCAACAAGTTTATGGAACGATGAAAACTATTGAGTGTGAGGCAACCATTGTTTGGTTTGGAGCTAGGGTTTTACAATGTTTTAAGGGATGGTGAAAACACTTCGATTGAGTGCTGAGATTTCAAAGTTGTTTGATTGTGGTGGCTTGTAATGCAAACCCTTCATTGAATTTCATCTAGTGATATTTTTTTTGAAGAAAAAAGAGAAACTACAATAAAAACCACTCACAAAAAAGGTAAGTTAGAAAAAGCTCAAAATTTGAAAATTTTAGTCTCACTTCATAGCTGCTAACAAAACAACATTATAAAAGAATGATCATTTCAGCTAGTGATAGCAACACTTTCCGGTGACAAATAAAAATTGTCAATCACTGATGCATCAACATGTACATGTGGTTCTTAAATCTCAGAAGTCATATTGATTAGTAAGGGTAAGCTGTATGTACTGTTTTTTCTTATTTATAACGAATTCTCTCTCTCTCACTCTGTATGTCCTGTTTTTGCTTATTTATAACGAATTCTCTCTCCCTCTCTCTCTCTCTCTCTCTCTCTCTCTCGTATTTTGACTCACTGTGAGCTCATGCACCATTAATATTATAGTGCGATATGGAATCAGGAAATGAATGATACATGATCTGATTGTTTCACAGGAAATTACTATCTGAGAATAAACATGTGAAGTACCTTTATATTCCATATAGCGACACTGTTGTGGTTGTGACGTGTAACCCTGTATCAAAATGGAAAGGTCCCCCAAAGTTCAAACCCAAATATAGCAGTGATGAAGCCATACAGCACGTTCGAGATCTCTACAAGGAATGCCTCCAGAAGTGCAGGTAAAGTTGTTTCCTGGTCCTGTTCAACCATATAATCTAGCAAGATATTTTCTCCTGTTTGAGCTGAAGGAGAATAAGCTGCTGAATGTCTCTTATTCCCTTTTATCATTTATCATTTTCTTTATTTTCATATTCTCTTGGCTTAGAGGACCTGTGCAAGTGCAATAAAGTAAAGGCATCAAAGTACTGCTAGAGCTATGTGGTGAAATGGGAAACAAAAACTTTTTGCAACATGGTCTTAAATGATTGCTCTTTTTCTTTCATTTCTCTGTTTCAATGTTCAGTGGCTTTGATATTCTAGATTTCTTACTACTAGAACTTGGAACTCTGTGTATGTACTGTTAAGACAATACTCATTAGCACTTAATATAGATGCATACACTTATACTCTTGTAAGCTTGGGCAAACTTGGTTGGGGTTGGTGTAACCAAGGTCAACCCAGGTCGTGAAATCCCAACTGGAATGTTGTATGCAGTTGGTGGGCATGGATTGCAAACTCCTAGAGCTGTCTTTGGTGTTGTTGTGTTAGCATAAAACGGATTACTGGTCCTCCATTGTTCTTCCTCTATTATCTTTTCTTTTTTGCTTCATATACCCAAAAACTCCCATATTGCTATT